AATCTAAACCCTCAGTTTGATTATTTCCAAGAACCACTAACCGTGCTTTATACCTCTCAAGAGTACCATCATATTTATATTTCAAAGTGAACACCCACTTACAGCCCAAAGCTTTCTTTCCCGGGGGTAGTGTCTCAACCGTCCAAGTCCCTTGATCCTCTAAGGCATCAATCTCACCCCGAACCGCATTACGCCGATTCTCATCTTCAAATGCCTCGGCATAAGTCCGGGGGATAACTCCAGCTGTGATCGCAGCGAGAAAAGCTTGATTACTAGCTGAAAAATTATCACAAGTAATATATGTATCAATAGGGTACCAAGAGGAGTCAACAAAATCACTATCCGTCCCGACGAGTGTAGTATTCGTCGCATATCCCTGTAGGCGAGTGGACGGAAATTTTTGACGACAACCACGACCCATAGGAGGCTCAACGTCATCTGTTAGCTCATAAAGATCCACAGCTTCAGAATCACTCTCATCATCATCATCCGCATCAGTAGGGGAGAATACCAGAGACGATGCGGGTGAGGAGACACCAGCCGGAGGAGCTGGAGAGGAAGCAAGCGGAGAAGAGCGAACAGGAGTCATAGGCGGAGAAGTTGGCGTAATATCCACAAGCACCGGGCTTGTCGCTGGTGGATCAGTCTCGGAGCCACTAGAAGAAGGATCCGTCATGGCCGGGACTTCATCGAGAAGCATAAATGGAGACAACGAGGATGAGGGCGGAGAGGGTGATTCAGATGGAGACATGTCGGTCGTACGAAATGGAAAATCAGTTTCGCAAAAAACCACATCACGAGACGTAGTAATCACACCGGTTTCAAGGTTATACACACGCCACCCCTTTTCCCCAAAAGGGTATCCGAGAAACACCGAACGATTGCTCCGTGAAGCAAATTTATCGCCTCCATGACGTTGATTATGTACATAACATAAGCAGCCAAACACTCTTTAAGTCATTCATAGGTGGAGGACGATCATATAGGATTTCGAATGGCGTCTTGCCTTTCAAAATAGTAGTGGGAGTACGGTTTATCAAATATCCCGCAGTAAGTGCACAATAACTTCAAAACTCCACCGGTAATTGGACTCAAAACGGATTGCACGCGCAACATTAAGAATGTGTCGATGGTTACGTTCGACACGGCCGTTTTGTTGAGGAGTCCCAACGCATGAAGTTTCATGGAGAATACCCTTTTCTCTGAAATAATCGGTAAGAACAAGAAATTCTGAGCCATTATCACTCCGTATTTTCTTGACTTGTTTCTCAAACTGGCGTTCGACGAGAGCAATAAAATTCCGTAAAGTATGAGCAGTTTCTGTCTTATTCGGCAACAAATAAATCCAAACAGCCCGAGAAAAATCATCAAGAATTGTAAGGAAATATCGTGAGCCACAGATAGATGTAGTACGGTAAGGCCCCCATAAATCACAATGAACCAATTCAAAAACCGCAGATGTTTTATTAGAGCTTAACGGGAAAGAGTCTCGTGTTTGCTTGGCACGAATACAAACGTCGCAAGACTTAAAATCAAAACCACTACCAAAACTACTATCAGATACTTGTAACATCTCCATAGCTTTAGAGGCGGGATGACCCAAACGACGATGCCACACATCTCCGGGTAACACGTCCAAAGTTTGTGCCATACTTGCAGCTGCAATTCCCCTAAAGAAATAGAGTCCACTATCCTGTTCACCGGCTCCAATCAGCATCGACGTGGTGCGGTCCTGAATGAGACAAAGTTTTTCAGAAATCTGGAAAAGACACCTCCTATCTCTAGTTAACTGAGAAACAGATATGAGATGACATTGCAATCCATCCACAAAGAAGACATTGATCAACTGAAGTTGTGAACCCAATGATACTCTGCCTTGCTTAGTAGTAACCGTGAGACGACCATCAGGTAATTTAATAAACATCGGAGCCATATCACACACATCAGTAAGAAAACCAACATCACCAGTCATGTGATTCGATGCACCCGTATCAATAATCCAAGACTCAACAAAGAACTTACCCGAAAGACGCTCACTTGGGTCGGAGGTTCGACCATTAAGCACCGCATGTAAACGCTTCCATTCGTCATCCGTGAGTCCACTAAATCCAACCCGATCAGCCTCAGTAACGGACGATGTAGTTCCAGCAGCTGGAGCAGTCACCGTGACTTGATTCACACGAGCAGGTTCCACGCGAGTAGCAGATGAGGACGTAGTAACACCACCACCACTTGATTTTGAGGTTTGTGTTTTAGTCCGAGGTCGATCTCCCCACCACCATGGATACCCGATTTTTCGAAAGCAATTGTCTGCTAAATGCCCATTCCGCCCACAACTCGAGCATACAGCTGTAGGATCACGCAACTCCGCTTGTTGTCTAGGCCGTGGAGTTGAAACGGATTGAACTGCAAAGCTCACACCGTCAGTCCGTTCGTCATACGTACGCACCGTACGTTGGGATTCTTCATCTTGAGTCACCACCTGATAAGCCTCATCAATAGAAGGAAGAGGATCACGAGACAAAAGAGAAGACTTAACAGCCCCAAAAACTGTCTCATCCAAACCCATCAAAAACTGATGTAGTTTATCTTCTTCACGCTCCCTTGCTATTTTCTCCGCTGTCTTGGCCCGTTGAAAATCAGAAAGTGTAGTCCAAAGTTTTGTAAGCTTCCCATAATATGCTTCAACGGCCAAGCCCTTTTGATAACAATTCGCCAACTCCATCTTAAGTCGTTGAACCCTCTACCCATTTTTCACCGACAAACGTTTTTGAATATGAGTCCAAAGATCATGAGCAATCTCATGATGAGATAGCGAGCTGCTCAAATCAGGAGCAATCGTAAGCTTGATCCAAGACACGACCATAGCATTGTTCGCCCACCAATCCTCAATATCTTCGGAGTCGTCCGCTGGTTTTGGTATAGTACCATCAACAAACCCGAATTTCTTCCTTGCCCGCAAAGCCAAACGAATGTTTAGAGACCATTCATCATAGTTCGGACCACGTAGTTGAGGTTGAGAGATAATCGAACCCGGATTGTCCCCGGAAGAGAGGTCATAGGGTTTGTTATGGGCTTCCAACTCAAAACCAATTGGCAATGAGTGGATTGGCCCTAACCCTTTATATATTACTTAAGTCCCATCACATATTTCAATGTGGGATATTTCTCCACACGCCCCCTCAAGATAATGGCTCTTTTAGCCATTTATCTCGACAGAATCCATCACGCCCCCTCGAGATAATGCTCTTCTAGCTATCTCAATGGAATTGGGGCTTCTTTTGGGCCATCAATTAATGGGGTGATCGGGCCTATTTCCGGGCCGGATTAATTAATGGGTCAGCGTGTGTTCGGGCTCTGATACCATGTCAAGAAGCCTAGATTAGTATAAAAGACTTCTTATCTTATTCATTAGGAGGCATAGCCTTTATATACAAATGTGATTAGACCTAAGTACTAACATAAATTACATAATGGTACTTAGAGAATACAATATTTACACATTGCCATATATCACACTCAATAAGTCGCAAGATTCTTCTCTCAGGTTTTAGAATCTTTTAACACCTCTTTTATGGAGTTATTGATTGATCGTTTTAGGTTAGCCAAGAACTCCCTTTGTCTCTCTTTTTCCTCCGGACCAACTTCCACTGTGTTATACTATTCCACCTTGAATTGTATAAAATCATATTGGAGGTGTATGTAGTGTTTCAACTCTGTTGAGAGGGTTTCCTGGGTGGTTGAGATTCAAAATCTAAGATAAAACCCTTCTTTGTTTGAATAACACATCCTAAAACTTCAGGTTTGACATATGATTTTGAAGTGGAAGCCAAAGATTTCTTCTTATCGTTAGTCTTCTCTTTGTTGGTTTTTTGTGAATGGTTACTTAAGAAACAAACGAAGAAGAATTGCTCTCACTCTCAGAATAAGAAGTTAGAATCAATTCTCTAAAAGCTTGTTTGCTTCTCTTTGTATATTTCTCTTCTATGAGCGTACATATTTAGAGCAAAGACTTAACATTTTAAGAAAAGCAAATTAGTTATTTAAATCCTACTAGGTTTGAATCCGTGGTACACCGCGGATCAATGTTTGTATTGTTAATTTTTATATTAATAAAGATTATGGTATAATGGTTTATCGGAAATACTATTTTATTATAAAATATGCTTTTATGGTAGTAATATAGAGTTTATTTAATTTAAACAAAGTTGTTGTGGTTGCACATGTAAAAGTTTGAGAAAGGAGGAGGTTTGGTTCTTATAGAGTTATCAAATTTTTTGAATGGTTAATTTAAGGGTTGAGAATTAAGAGAGTATATAGAACTTGATGATGTATTTTTTTGTCTTTTACATCATCTCTTAGGTAGATTTGAATATTAGTTGTTACGAGCAACATACCGCCATATAATATTTTATCTAAATATAAAAAATGTTAGAATTCTTTAGTTTTGTTCCTTAAAGTTTAAATTTTAAAGTTTATAATTTAATTTTTGTACTTTTAAAATTTAATCAGTAATACGTATGTAATTTAGTAATTAGATATTGCAATGATCCATTTTAAAGTGTCAAGAGGACTGTGTTTTGTCAAAATAATGTTTTGTTTACATTAGAAAACTTTTATCATAATAACAATTATATTTTTAATTAAGGATGTATATAATTATTGTAATTAACATATATATAGTATTTTTATATCTAGTTTAAGTTAAAGTTATTTACATTGATTTCATAAAAAATAAATAATAAAATGTTGCAATAAACATACGGAACACTTAATATATAAGTAATTAATTAGATATTTTTTTGGAATTTTTTGGTTGATAAAATAATTTGTACTTCTGTAGTTTCAGATTAAATAATTTTTATTTTTAGTGTTTTAAAATTTAATTCGTGGTACATTGCTACATGTGTAATTTAGTGTTACGATTCCAATCTAGTTGAGCCATAGCCACTACCGCTGCCGGATTTTCGGATTCGGGTATTTTGTCCAGTCCTATGAGATATTACTCAATATATTGATGTTTATGGTTCTTAGTATAGTAAAGCAAAATGGAACAACTACAAAGGAAGAGGAAACAAAAGCCCAACCAAAGTAATCAAGACGATCCACGGTATAGTGCTGAGGAGAAAATAAAACTAGAAAGAAATCGTTTTTGTGACTATCAATCTGAAACCGAACAATCAAACAAACTGAAGGCAAACATAGAATGCATCCAAGTCTTACTCAAGTATGCCAAGTCTTCTTCAAGTAGACTTGTATGCCACACCATGACCAGGAATGAATTTCGCATTTTCTTCACTATAAATTTCTGTCTCCTTCTCAAGCCTGCTCAAGTTTAATCTCAAGTTTATAAATATATCGATTTAAGTTCGGTTTTTTAATAAATTTAAAAGAGAGAAAATGGAAATTACGCGATGGAGATGGTCTTGTTGAGTGTAGAAGCAGAGAGAAAAGTCGAAGCATCTAAATACAACAACTCTCCTATCACTCTCTCTTCGATTTTTCGATCCATTTCCGTTACTTCGAACGTAAGCTCTTGGTCTGATGCCATCACCCATCCCCATGTATCCGCAAATGATGGTACATGTGCTGTGTAAGCCTTCACGTCTGTTTCATTTTTAATCATCAAGAATCAACCAAACAATGTCATTACAAGAAAACACAAAAGAGAGTACTTACACTTGAACACTTGTTTCAAGGTGTTGTAGATTGATGTAAAGACCTCTTTATGAGTGAATATTCCAGCTGGTCCAGCCTAGTAATAAGAACATAGAATTAGATCAACAATATATATTATCTTTTCTATCCCTAACTTGTAAATGCTTACAAAATAAAACAAGTACCTGAGTCACAAAAATGCCATTGAGGCTAAGCTTGGGTTTGAGGATGTTCTCATAGAATGATTTGGTATAGAGCTGATAACATGGTCCACCTTCTACAGGGTCAGCTAAATCTCCAACTATTATATCAAACTTCTCTTTTCGTTCCTCCAATTCAACCCTTTACCATTTAACATTTTCATAGTCAAATTTATATTTTAGTGAAAAATTATATTTTGTTGAATTTTCCTTACTTAGCATCGTTGATCACAAGTTCAAGCTTCTTGTCACAAAAAGCTTTGGTGTTAATAGTTAGAAATCTCTTGCAAAAATCAACAACTTCCTACACATAAAAGGCCTTTAATTTGTTAGTTTAATGAATATATATTTTGGGGGATGATACATTTAAGTTAAAATGTTATAACCTGATCAATATCACACATGACCACTTTCTTGATGGTGTTATGTTTTAGTATTTCTCTTGCAGCAGAGCCTTCACCTCCTCCCATTATAAACACAGTCTTGGGGCTAATCATAGAGCAATGGTCAAGTTAAAAAAATTTTAAACTCGCAAAACAAAAACCATGTCAATTCCTCTTAAATTTCTTAGAGTATTTGATATAATGTACTTTCTTTTGTCAATCTTGATTTATGGTACTTAATCATGTGTAACCTCAACTAAATGGTCAATATAATTAAGGGCCATTCTCTAAAATACCATCATTTTTGTTTTTAGGACAAAAATACCACAAAACTAAAATTAAGTTTTAAATTTTCAAACTCTAAATTCTAAATTCTAAACATTAAACCCTACCCCCTAAATACTATACCCTAAATTGCAAATAATCAACCCAAACCAAAGATTTAAAATTCCATATAATTGAACAACAATTTGATTTTAGTGGTATTTTTGGAAAGAAACCCAAAATGATGGTATTTTGAGGAATTCCTCTATAATTATACCATGGTCAATCTTGATTAATGGTACTATAATCATGGTATTTTAGTTTACTTATAAGCAAGTCAATATAATTGCTTTTCATAATTTTGAACACACGTAAACTAAATTAAAATTGTAACCTACTTAAGGTTTTGTGCATAGTACATTGTAAAAATATAAATTAATTTTTTTGAATAGTAGCTAAAAAAATGTAAGTTTCCTAATCGAAAAACACAAATGCAAGTGAAGCATACTTGGGGTGGAAAATGAGAGCCGGGTGAATCAAGCATTCATGGTAGATAAACTCATCTCTCTCTGCACTTTGCATTTTCCCATCAATCACAAGTACCTGTTTTGAAAAATAAAACATTCACTAATTAAAATTAAGATTTTCTGTTATAAAAACCCTCCAAGTTGACATTTTTCTAACTTTATTCTCCAACTCCCATAAAGTAAAAAAAACTCGCGAAATCAAAATAATATGCAATATAACCCATTGTCATCACCGTAAATTTGTAAAATGTTGATAAATAGTACATTAAATCGAAACCACGAAAAATGAGGAGAACAAATCTACATTAATATAAGTTATGAAAATCTAACTTATGTGACCTTACAAAAGTTTAGAAGATACATATATGGAGATGAAGGGTAAACTTGCAAAAAGTGTTTTTCTTTGCACCAAAACCTTCAACTTACACAAAGTATAAAGTATACAACTTCAGAAATTTTCAACCTTTTCATCAACAAAAAATGAAACTAAAAGAAATTTCAGAAACTCTTTTAGTGTTTTATGTCATATTTGTTGAAGAAAATGTACCTTTCCAAATCGTTTGGTGTCTAACAAAGCAATATCTTGATACTCACTAGTTCCTTGATGGAGAACACTGCCGAGAAAGAAAAAATAAATAAGTGAAAAAGAGATGGGCAAAATCAACATTTAGGGAAATCAAAGTTAAGACAAAACAAATCAAGAAAAATAAACCTGTTGAGGGCAAAAGACCACTTAAGATCTTCATCAATGATCTCTTCATACCACTGGCACTGATAGGTTTGATTTGGTAACATGACCTCTACAGCTTCTCCCATATTCTAAGTTAACAAGTAGAACACAAAGAAGATGTATATAGTTTGGTGATAGTTCTAATGCTTCTTCACCTTTTATAAACTTTGAAAACTCAAGCTCTTTTTGGTAACTAGCTAAAACGTTTATTGTATCTTGATCATCTTCTTGGTTATTAGGAAAGTGTAGAAGATAACAATTCTCATAGATTTAAATAATAATATTGGAGAAGCGTTATAATTTTCCTTTTAATTTGAATGAATCAAGAATCTTCATCTTTTTAATTTTTTGTTTCCCCTAGAAAGAGTTTTAAGTTTATATGTAAATAAAGAGAAAACTGAAGTTTTTGGTCTTTTTTTTTGTCCTCTTTACGTTACTTAATTTGGTGTTTAGTGCATTAATATCACTTTAAACAATTCCAATACATTAATACACAATGACATCACTAATATTTGTAAAGAAAACTTAACCAGAATATTCTTTTGTTGTATACTCATATAGGAAATGAAAACTTAACAGGAATATTCTTTTATTTTTAGAAATATGTTTCTTTGATATATGCAAAAAAGATCTTATAAAAAAATGTCTGCATATAAACTGATAAATATGAGTATACTTCATCATTTAATGTTTTATTATACTGTTTTGTCTTTTATATCAAATTTAAATTTTCTTGAGTAACAAAGATAATTTATTTTATCTTTAGTAAATTAATAAATTTAAAACTATATACATATATACAAATTGTACCAATAAAAAGAATTGAATGTGGTGATGCTCTTTAAAAATTTTGGGCCAGACATTGCTTCACAATCTATACTTTTCAAAGAAAATTTGGATATATATCCTTTTTGAAAAATTGAATTAGTTTTTTTTTTGTGGTAAATAGATATTATCATAACAAATGACAATTATATATTTGCTAATGCAAATGTTTTCCTTAATTCACTTTTTCTCTTACACCCAACTTTTTTTTTTGTCAACAACATTTATATAATGGACTCAGATGAGTCAAGAACTGGGAACATTGTTTACATAAAGACATAGAAGCGATTCAGCACGCACTTTGTGTGCCAATAAATCTACTTTAATATTATAGCAAAGAGAAACTTTAAGTAAAGAAAAAGAAGCACGTATAACCTGTAGCACATAAAACACTACCCTCCAACAATTGAACAGGTTGTCTCCGTATCCCAGTACTCTCCTAAATTGAAACATCCATCTGTGCGGCTGTCCATAATTGAACTTTATTTTAAGCCAGTCGCAGCACCTTTCTCGGATTCTTATCCACATTGTCAAAAACCTTTTCATTCATTTCCTTTCAAATATACCACAAAATCCATGGATACATTGAAATGTTAACACCTTTGCGTTTTCGCCAGAATAAGTAATCCATAGTGATATAAATCGAATCTGATGGAAACTCTCCTATCGTCGTGGGCACTTGTGACAAAGCCCATGACTGAAGGGCCGGTGGACATTGAAAAATTGCATGATTAATAGATTCCATTTCACCACATTGACTACAATATGGATCACAATTTAAAATCACGAATGACTAAATTTATATTGACCGAAATACATCCTATAACCACCTGCCACATAAAATATCGCAACTTAGAGGGTCCATACCCAACCCTCTTATATGAGTTCTAAGTTGTAAACAAAACTCACGCACAAGTACCAATTAGGCCAAAGATAATATGGAAAACAAAACCCACGCAAAAGTCAAATCTAATTTTTTCTATTTTCTTTCTTTCCTTATTGTCCTAACCTTTCTATATGTCTATCTATTTTTTCCTTTTCTTTTATCTCTTCAAAATATATTTTATTGAGTGATGATAATAAAATATACTTCAAAGGTAGCTTCAAGTAAACATGGAAGATGAAGAAGAAACTCTAGTACGATCCAGAACACCTATGTACAGGCTTTACTTCAAGGGTTTGGTAACCGAGGAAGCAACAGTGATATCAGCAGGATTTGGAATTGCAATATGCGGCGACAAGGATGATTTGTTGTTCGATATGAATAGACCAATTCATGAACCTGCCATTACACGTTTAGAGGCTGAGATAATAGCATTGAAGTGCGGATTAGAAGAAGCTGTGAGTATGCAGATCAAAGATATCTCAATCTGCTGTGATAATGAGCAGATTTTCGAATTGGTAAGGTTTTTTTCCTTGGCTCACACGTCTTAGTTCGCTTCAATATCATAGTTTTTTTTTAATTGCCTTGAATGTTTTTTTTAGGTCATGGGGAGATCTATGCTAGAGCAAGAAAACATTACCATGTTAATACGTGATGTGCAAGGCATCAGACAATATTTAAGGTCTAGTATCCCTGTCTTGTTGACTCGAACTCAAGCTAATTTCGCCTACGAATTTGCGATAGAAGCAATCATATATATGCCTGTGCATGTGCCTGTTCAGGAAGATATGCATGTTCAGAAAGAGTTTTGCAGTATCTGTATGAATGATGACATCAATGCTGACCATATGTTTGGTAATGAATTATGTGGTCATAAGTTCTGTTCCGACTGTGTCAGAAGTCACATAGAAGTGAAACTAGCCATGTCAAGTTCAGTGACATGTCCTGGTTATAAGTGCAATTCTCGACTGAGCTATCGACTTTGTGTCAACATTTTGACACCTGAACTAAAAGAGAAGTGGGAACAAAAGATCAAAGATGACTCTATTCCCGTGACAAATAGAGGCTATTGCCCTAACCCTAGATGCTCGACTTTAATGTCTGAAACTGAGCTCTCTGGACAATTTGGATTTAGGCAATACTGTGTGAAATGCAATGAACCCTTTTGCATAAACTGCAAAGTTCCTTGGCATAGTAACTTATCATGTAACCAATACAATAGGTTACATCCAAACCAAACAGTAAACGATATATTGCTAATGGAGCTAGTGAATGAGAAAAGGTGGCGTCAATGTAGAAAGTGTCAACACATGATTGAACTTTCTGAAGGATGCTCCAGCTTAATTTGCAGGTATATATATATATATGATCTTTAATCTTCGAGTTATGTTTTATATAATGTATTAACTTAAGTTATACTTAATAAAATGGTAGATGTGGACATAAGTTTTGCTATGATTGTGGAGCTGATACTGGATCATGTTACCATGGTCATAACTTTCCTCGACCAAGGGTACTAAGGAGGAGACAGTATCGTCTTAGGTTATGCTGTTTTGGTTGTTGAGTGATAATTGCCATTGTTGTTATTTTGATACTAAGACATGTTTGATGGGCATGTAATGCTTTGGTTTTTAAGTTACTAACTTACATTAAGGCGACACATTTGTGTTGATGTTTTAATTTGTACATCTTATTGTCAAATCTAGTCTTTACATATCAGTCCAGCACTTAGGGTTTAGGAACTAACTAAACTTGATAATAAGATGGGGAACTAATTTACAAAAACCTCTAATAAGATAGAGAACTGAGTTAAAAAAAAAATATATATATATATTTACATTAACAAAATTTAAATGTGTATCTTTTAGATTTTTTTTACCTTTTCTCTTAACCAAAACAAGAAGGAAAAATATATTTACATATACTAACTTACGTACAATATTAGCTCCTACAAGAAAAAACAAATTTACGTACATTAGCCAATTAGATAAATCTTGACATATATATCTCTTTTTTTTTAAAACATATACTGTATATCTTTTGTTTCATTCACCAGTTTTTGAACTCATGCTACGCTCGTAGTTTGATCTTATACGAGTATCAAAAATACACATAAATTTATTGATAGTATATATACAAGAAAACAATCACCTACGGTAAAAAACTTAAAAAACTGTTCGTAAGAGTAAAACACAGTTTTTTACCAGAATCCTACCAAACATTTGTAGTAAATATCTTCCGATGATTTTCCTACCAAATCTTTTCTATTATTCTCCTACCAAATAATTTCTACAGTTTTTGTACAAAACATTTTCTTACAATTTCCTAAGTACAAAACATTTGGATTCTAAGAGCATCTACATCCGTGGTTGTGTCTCAATTGTTTTTTCACATTTATATATATTATTTTTATTGTTTCTTATTATTTAATTAAATTAATTGATTTAAACCAATCAAATTAGGACACATGTAGACTTTTTGTTTTATTTGTGTCTTAAGTGTCTGCTTAAAGATACTATCACTTGTTCGGAGAAGAGTCGCTGGCGATTGAAATTCGACTTTGTTTTCTTTCATCTCTCTTAAGTTTTTACACTTTTGACTATAATTATCAAATTTCAAAATCACTAAATCAACCAGCTGCACAATTCAAACTTTATATTAGAAGGAGCGATAGTCGTAGGATTAATCAAATTGTTATTATCCGATCTGCAAAACTGTATTTTCATCTTCACGGCCGTAAAAATAGAAATTTATGTGGGGAGTTTGCTAAATTTATAGTTATACACTTTAGAATAGTCATAATTTCAAAATTGACATGTCAAAAGCAAAAATAAATCCAGTCGCTGATATGAATCGCGCGACTGTTAAAAGCACATGACCACTAGGAAACTCTCCTCTCCCTCTTTTTGTTTATTAAAATATTTTTGAAACCCCTTGAGAATTATTTCCGACGAGGATGATATAAATATAGTAGCTTAGTAGCTCACACATATTGTTTTTATTTTGGGATATAACTTAACTATCTATTTCACCATAATAATTTAATTTTTAATTATATGCACTCCATCTAAAATGGATATGAACAAAAGTTATTAAAAAGACAATATATGCATCATATCAAATTCCTAATCGTAAAAAAATTACAAAATAAAACATAAGTAAAACTTTATCAACATTCTCATTAAAGTAATCAATTCCTTTATTAAACTTTGAATCTATTAAATATGACGATTTTAATAACATAATTCTAATGGTATTTGCACAAAAAAAAAAAAAAAAAAAAAAATCTAATAGTATAACATATGAAAATCAACATTAATAGAAGCAACTAGTTCTTTTTCAAAAACCTTCGTTTCATCATTATACATATTCGACGTAAATGCCACTTGAAATATTATAATGATAAAGAAACTACAAATACTTAATTTTGATGTAATATCAAAATATATACCATTGATTCCCCAAACACATCCCAAAATGGCAATATATAAAATACAACCAGCCCCAAGCCCAACCACACCACAAATCAACTGGGCTAGTGAAACTGTAGCGATGATGACACTTGACGTAAGAACAAACACATCCCATCTTTGCCATTTGTAACAGTTACAAAACATAGTTACACTCACCATTACTGACATCATTGCTAGCAAGATTTGTCGACCTTTGAACTTAGTATGTGGTCGTAGTGTTTGTGGATGTGAGTGAACCAAACGAGAAGACGTTTCAAAGACATAGATGAACATCAGCAAGAACCCAAAGTATCTAAGTAGTAAATAGCTTAAACTCATATTTTCTTTGTATGACATTACACTATCCCATCCTATTGCGACGCCATAGATCGATATGATTGCCCATTTAAGCAATATTAATCTTGTGAATGTATCATTTACTCCCAAAATTATAGTTCTTTCAGACATACATATAAAATTTTCTTGTACTTTATTTCTTGTTTTTCTTTCTCTAATGGTTTATTTTATATACAAGAGAAAGAAAAAATGGTTTTATCATTTGGATCTTGGATATAATTAAATTTCGATTATCAAATCTCTAAGTATTAAATGCAATATCTTGAAAAGTATTTTTTTTTTTTTACAAATCATGTGTGTGACATATCTCCTAAACACAGTATGTTTAATTATATGTAATTTATTTATTAAAGTGACTTAATTGATAATTATGAAAAGTATTTAGAGTTTTTTTTATTCATTTTCAAATAAGATTAAACTTTAAATATCTTAAAAATATGTTTCATAAATATAGAGATATTGAACTAATGAGATTTAAGGTTGTAAACAATTGCCAGTCGAATTGGCTCATTTGAGTCGGCTTTTAGTTATTTGATGACAAAAAAAATAAAAATAATAATGAGATTGTAGCAACAATGACACTTAAAGTAAGAATGAAACATAATCATCTAATGGTGATTTTAGCTTCATGGTTTTTTTTTATTTAGGCCATAATTGGGCTTAACCCTGTTGTATAAACTTTCATGGCTCGAAAAAAAAAAAGAAGGGGATTCTAATTCATAAAGAATTTTGATGAGTTCACTAAAATCATAAAAAGTGAATAACTAAACATTATTAAAGGATTGCTATAAATTTTTCTATAGTCTTGTCGATTAATTTTTCTATAATCTTGTAAAGTTTTCTAAATAGTCTCTCTATCTTTGATGATACTTTCCATGAGTTTAATTTATGAAGAAAAATGTATTAAATAATAAACCAATAACATAATACAATAATTTAATTCATTAACAATCCTAGATTTTTTTTTCTGTTTTAGTTAAATAGCACAAAACTTTTATTCACTTAATAAAATTTTGAATCCAATAAACCCATATTTATTAAGATTTAAAATGATTTTCTTACAAATCACAAACTAATAACATCAAACTTAATTTAACAAAATCTTGATTAAATTACCACATATTCTACATAAAAATTAAATTCATTGAAACTCTATTTAAACATGAGTAGACTTGGCTATAAAAAAACCCTAGATATCCTTTAGAAATTGATATATACTTAGTAAAAACATAAAGCGTGAGTCCTAGAAAACAAACTTCAAGTAGATATGGAAGATGAAGGCACTCTAGTACGAGAACGAGTATATGACCTAAAACATGCCGGAAACCCATCACCGTCAAGATCCTCGCCGTACAGCCTTTACTTTAAGGGTTTGGTAAGTGAGAACACGACGGAGTTATCCGGAGAATTTAGGGTTGCGATTTGCGGCTACAAGGATGGTCTGATGTTTCAGATGAAAGGACCAATTTATGAACCAGCCATTACACTTTTAGAGGCTGAGCTTATAGCATTGAAGTCCGGATTAACCGAAGCCGCGAGGTTAGGGATCAATCATATCTCAATCTGCTGCGATCACAATCAGATTTATGAATGGGTAAGTTACTTCCTTGACCAACACGTCTCCACCTACTTCAGTCCTATAACTAGTGTTTTGTCTTAAACTGTTTAGGTCATGGAGAGATCTACACCTGAGCAAGAAAACATAGCCTTGCTAATACGTGACGTGCAAGGCATTAGAAAACGTTTTACTTCTAGTAAAGCTGTATTGGTTACTCGAAAACAAGTTGAGTTTGCTTATAAACTTGGAATGGAAGCAATCTCTTCTAAGACTAATGTAGCTATGGCTACTCTATTTCATCCGATAAAGACGAATTTGCCTGCTAGGATTCATCTGAAAAAGACTTGTAGTATCTGTTTCGAAGATGTCAATGCTGATGAGATGTTTTTGGTTCATACATGTCATCATATGTTCTGTTCCGAATGTGTGAAAAATCATATAGAGGTAAGACTAGCTGAAGGGTATATGATGACATGTCCTCAGTACAAGTGCAAAACTAAGCTGGTTTATAACGATTGTGTCAACATTTTGACACCTAAAGTAAAAGAGATGTGGGAACAAAGGAACATAGAGGAATCGATTCCTGTAACCGATAGAGTTTACTGTCCAAACCCGACTTGTTCAGCTTTGATGTCAGTAACCAATTTCTCTCAACTCAATGAAGTTAAGCAATGTTGTGTCAAATGCGGTGAATTCTTTTGCGTCAATTGCAAAGTTCCGTGGCATAGTGACTTGTCGTGCCACGGTTACAAGAAGTTGCATCCGAATCCTACAGAAAACGATAAGAAGCTCCAAAACCTCGCGGATTGTAAAAGGTGGCGTCAATGCAGCAAATGTAAACAAATGATTGAACGTTCTGATGGATGCTTCTTCCTACTTTGCAGGTTCTGATCACATCTCCTCCTTTCAAAGTTTATTTGATTTTGATATATATATATATGTAACAACATGACTTGCTAACTTGACAAATTTGGCAGATGTGGTCATAAGTTTTGCTACCAATGTGGAGCAGATGCTGGATATTGCTATCATCTTGGTCTTGGTAATGATTTTGAACCAGAAGACACAACATCAATAGATATTGCTGTCGGTTTTGCTATTGTAGTGTTATTAGTTGGTAGCATAGCTTTTGGTATCATTGAATGATATCATAGTTTGTAGGGTTTTTTTTGATAAACTAAATTAATTATGAAAGCTTTGTGCAAAACACATAGTTACAGAACAGTACAAGTAAGGATTGGTTACTAAATTTTATTGCATGAAGTAGTCTTACAAGCAGAGGCTTTAGCATTTATGTAACCTGAAACTGTACGAGCCAAACTTATAAATAACATCCCAAGAGATTTCAAGAACTTCATGAGAAAAAAAGAGAACACATACCATTTCACAGTGAGATCTGTGTGAGGTAGAGACATTGAAAAAAACCTGAGATGTTAATCTCATTTGTCCTAAGCTTTAACTCTCACAAGCCTCTCTCACTGATTCTAAAAAACTCTCAAAATATAGAGTTATTCCCCAATTCAATTACCCCCAACATACACAAATACAAGAAAAAACGCCTTTTTCTCTACCAAAGGCTCTTTTTTATTATTCAAGACCCTACAGGAGCCATGTCTTTACCTTTGGTTGCAGCCGTTGCAGCAGCTGTGGCGGCGGCAGCTGCTGCTGCGGCGGCTGCTGCAGCTGCTGATGATGCTGAGCTTGGTGTTGAAGGAGGAACCGGGTTGCTTTGCTTTGCAACTACTTCTTGACGCTTTTGCAGCTGTGGAGAGTTGAGATCGGTGAGTAGCTCTTTAATCTGCTTACCGGACATAGTTTCGTGCTGAAGCAAAGCGTTTGCAAGGGCGTGAAGCTCTTTGTTGTAAACCGTGAGGATGGTTTTCGCATTGTTATAAGCCTTTTCCAAAAGATGTTTCACTTCACTCTCGATGAGAAGCCTTGTCTCAGTGCTCATGCTTTTCCCATTGTCGTCGTAGTTATGTGCCACAAGACCTACCTCTTTGCTCATACCGAATTTCGTGACCATGGCTCTAGCGAGTTTAGTTGCCTGCTCAAGATCAGAAGAAGCACCTGATGTTACCTCACTCTCCCCAAAAATCAACTCTTCAGCTACCCGGCCTCCCATACAAACATCAAGCCGAGCAAGCATCTGTTTCCTAGAAATGCTTGTCTCATCTTTATCCGGTAGTTGAGAAACCATGCCAAGAGCCATACCACGAGGTACAATGGTTGCTTTGTGGACTGGAAGAGCACCATCTGTGTGGATGGCGACAAGGGCATGACCACCTTCATGGAAAGCTGTCAGTTTCCGTGACTCGTCAGATATAACTGCAGATTTTCGCTCACTTCCCATCATGATTCTATCTTTGGCAAACTCAAGATCAGACATTGTGACATCTTTCGAACCGTCCATCGCAGCTTTAAGAGCAGCAACGTTGACTAGATTCGCCAAATCAGCACCAGAAAATCCAGGCGTTCCTCTAGCAATGATCATTAAGTCAACATCTTCAGCCTTGAGTACCTGAAAACACACAATGAAGATAGCCATTAGCCAACAAACAGAGATGGCTTCACATAATTGATATCCTTCTTGTGGTAATTATAACACTCAACAGGATTTATACACATTTCACTTATATATCCAAAGTACCAAATTGGTAACTATAACTACAGCTCTAATAATGCTACCTAGCCTCTAGTGGATACCTAATTTGCTCAACAACTCCATTTCACAAGCTCACACCATTAGCGAAAAACCTTAGTCCATCTAATGCATAATCTAAAGTTACCTTCGACATGTGAGACTCCAAAATCTGGCGTCGACCTTCCACGTCAGGGTTAGGTACAACAATATGGCGATCAAACCTCCCGGGTCTAACCAGGGCCTTATCCAAAGACTCTGGGAAATTTGTAGCTGCAACCACAATAATTCCTTCATTCTGTTTAAACCCATCCAACTCAACAAGCAACTGGTTCAATGTCATCTTCATGTATTGTTGGTCCTTAGGATTACGACTTCCACCAATAGCATCTATTTCGTCGATAAATATAATACAAGGAGAGCACTTCTTTGCAGCACTAAAAAGATCTCTAACTCTTCTGGCTCCAACTCCAACAAACATCTCTTCAAATTCACTACCACTGCAGGAGAAGAAAGGCACTCCAGCTTCTCCAGCAATAGCCCTAGCAAGCATAGTTTTTCCTGTTCCAGGAGGACCGACAAGCAATACACCCTTAGGAAGCTTTCCACCCAGACGAGTGAACCTCTGAAATCAAAATCAAAAGAAACAAAACCAATAACAAGAGTGAGGCCAAAGAACAAAACAGTGCTAACTCTATTACAAATCTGTACAGGATACATATCATAACGTCACATGAACTATGCTTTAAATATTCTATTTCAATACGAAACCTACATCTAGTTTGACATTTATACTAGCACTGTGAATTTTACCTTAGGGTCGCGAAGATAATGCACAATTTCCTCTAGCTCAGCTTTTGCTTCATCAACACCTTTCACATCAGTAAATTTGGTGCTTGAATCCATACTAGGTTGCACTTCTTCATGTAAACCAAGTCCTAACATATATTAAGCATAAAACTAATTAGATCAAACTCATCCACCAACAGAGGTATTGCATCACAGAAGATAATACAACCAAACTACCTTTGCCAATTCCTCGATCCTCGATAAGTGCTCCGATACCAGAAATGAATAAAAATCCGACTGCAACAGTTCGGATAGTACTCCATAGTTGTTCTTTAAAGTTACTCCTTTCACTGGATATAGTATGGATTGGTGCAGCAGCAGTTCCAAGGACACCATCTTTTGTTGGTTTCCCTAAGTTTCTAAAAGCTGTCAAACCTCCAAAAGTTTCTTCCTCCCTTGAAGCACCAACAATACCTAAAAATAAACAAGAAATTACATTTTAAAAGCAGCATACAAAAGATTTACCAATACTATAAAGAGATAATATCAATTCAGAAACAGAACAAGAAGTCTCTCCCTCCTTACCCACCTCTTTGCAATGTTCTTACAAGCTCACTTTGATCCAACCTATCAACTTTAACCAATGCCTTAATGTATTCAGACAACGCCGAGGCATTCCCATGTAAAGATGGTTGGCTTTCAAACATTCTGATAACAGCCTCAGGATCATTTCTTCTAATAAGTTCTCTCAGATGTGCAACCTCATTAACTTCTTCTCTGTCACGCACTCTCCGAGCAAAACTACCAACATAACTCGACTGAAACCTCGTTCGCGGTAAAGAAGCTCCACCACCACCTACAGCTAAATCACAAAACGCTTCTGAAACAATCCAATAACAACAAGACTAACTCATAACACAATTAATATATCTATATATATACCTCCAGTAACACCCACTCTAGGAAAAGAAGAGTAAGCTCTGACAAGTAAGCTTCTTAAATGGTTCAATTCACGTTCATGACTCGAAACCTGTCATAATAGATGAACAGAATCAATGGTAATGAAGTAAATTTACTCATCATAAACTCAAACCAACACTATTCTGAATAAAGATGAAACCTTTGACCTATTCTGAATCTTACACTCACAAAACTTCATGCCAATTTCAAAACCAAGTGAATTGGGTATTCAAATCAATCAAATAGCAGTATATCAGAGAAGGGGAAATTACAAAAAGAGAAGATTTTTGAAACTCTTCTAGGGTTTGCAAAAAGAACAACTTTAGCTAATGAATCACAAAGATCTTGATTAAACCCATAAGAAAATGATATCTAATTAGATCAAATCAACTAAATTACCAAACAAATTCGAAACCTTTTTGGTATTAAAATTGCATAAGAAAAAAATAAAATAAAACAGGAACCTTGGTGATGATGCGTCTCCAAGCCATCAATCAAATCTCTGTTTAGTGTTGCGTCTTAAAAATTGTGTGTGATTGTCCGAAAATGAGAGACTTGCTCGATCTATATGGGAAACAAAAGACAAGACTCTCTTCGTGTTTAGGGAGAACCGTCTAATCTTTATTCCCCTTGCCTAAGTCGTAAAAACACTAACTCACGCGTGAGAGAGACCTGTTTGGTTCGAGAGAAAGAGATTAAAATTTGTGCAGCAGGTGCAGACACGCACGAGACATGTAGGTCGTCCGCCTTTGAAGCTAAAATGACATAAACACCCTTTGGGTCTTTCTCGTTATTTCATTTTAATGGGCTTTTCCTAGAGGCCCACAAGAAAAGATATTCATAAATATTAACAATAGAGTTGTGATCAAATCCCGTAAAAGCAATGTTGTTTCTTTAACCAGACCAGACCGGCAATCAAACCGAACTAGACCGTGAACCAATTTTTTAATTAACTAGGAGGTTTGCTGGATTAGGCATGGGCATAAATTCCGAATCTAGTAAAAAAACTAGATTAAAACCGAATATTTGGAAAATAACTAATCGGTTCTTAGCTTTTATTACTTTTGGATATCGGATTAAACCCACTCCAAGCCGATAGCCAATAAGTACCCGAATATAACCGAACTTATAAGATACAATTTATTAATGTTTGAAGGGTATACAGTTTAGTATTATAAAGGTATATGTTATTGAATTTTGCTACTTCCTTTTTATTATGATTTTATAGTTTACTTTGGTTTATTTAAAATTGTTATGTATCAACATAGTTTTATGTTTCACTTTTATAGATAGGTATGGTTTTATTTTATGTAAGTTTGATTTTTGAGTTTTACATTTGCCGTATTTCTATTTTTTTAGAGATACTTGGATATTATAGGTTATTTGAGTACAATTGGATTAAAAACTATCCGAATAAAACAGTATCAGATAAATTTTGGATAGTTTAGATTATGAACAATTTTATCTAAACCGATCCAAAATCCGAATTATTCGAACCGAAACTGATCCAAATTTTATAAATACCCAAATTGATGTTAGAACCAATATCCAAAAAAAAACCAAAATCCGAAAAATCCTAACATAATCGATCCGATATCCAAACGCCCAACCCAGCTGGATAATGATCTTTGTTAATTTTAAAATTAAACCAAAGTTTTTGTGAATTTAAATTTCCAAAGTAATTACTGTATATGTTAGTATTTAATTTAATAATTTAAAATATATATAATCCATGATTTTGAAATTTAAGCTATAGATTTTTGGAGATTTTAATAATTTCATTGAGATTTCAAAAGTAAAAATACAAAGAGAAACATTTTCAAGTAGAGGAAATCTAACAACAACAAAAACAAGTTGTTTGAGAACTGCTACTACAATCTGACATCTTCGGTGTGAAACTGCTTCTCAACGTCCACGACTGTCTTCTTTGCATCTTCAATCTCTTGACCTTCTTTCTCAACCATCTCTTCCAATTCTGCCTGCAATTTTTAGTTTTTTGCTTAACAGACAAAACACATAGTAGCAATTTCATAGTCTCACTTTATATCTCTGCTTATTCAATATTTGTCTCTGAGACTAAACTTGAGATCATGCTCTACGTTTCTTATGAACCTAGTAGTAAAGGCTAGAACAATGCTAAGCAAGCAATAACAAATGGGAAAGTGTATTTACCAAAGTGGACTTGAGGTCAGCTAATGCAGCCTCAAGACGTTTGTTACAATCAGGAATCATCATCCTTGACTCACCCAACACATTCTCCTGCATCAACCCAAATAGAACAAACAAGGACAACAAGAGTTTCAGAATCTATAATCTGTAACATACTTAACATACATAGCTTACATGACCACATACCACTTTGATCAAAACACACTTAATATTTTGAAACTGTACCTGTTGTTTAAGGTCGTATGGATCAGCTCCTTTGTCTTTCATATCAGCAGTCTTAGCAGCTTCTCTCTCAACCTCTTTCTCATAAGAGTGAAGCTCTTTCACAATCCTTTTCACCGTCGATGTTTTAATCTTCAAGTTTCTTTCTGTTGCCATTGATTCTGCGCCAATGCAAACAACAAGATTAAAGTTTCTACATTTACCAACAAACAACGATTCCATAACTAGCTCTAACCAAAGTAGTTGATAACATCATAAACACTAAAGGTGATCATAGATTAAAACAAAACACAACAACAACAAACAAAAGCCAAAACTGAAACATTTTTGCCAAAAGAATAGATTTTTTAGAGTGAACAAATCATTGATTATCAAAGAAACAACAAGATTACATATGAGATAACTTAGAAGATCATTCAGACCGAGTTATCCGGAAGATTTCAGGCATAACAGAGTTATACAGACTGGTCTTAAGTAAGTACATGCTGCTATATCTACTCATCTCCATCATCTTATACTCCTAGAATTAAAAACCATAACTTTGATCTCTATTACTACAGAACACGAATCCAAATTCATAAAATTTCTATACACACATAAAAGGGTATCATCTAAATCCAAATTCAACGAATCCAACAGAGAAAAATATCGGTATTACTACGAACACACACTTGACAAAACCAAACCGGGTACGAGGAAACACAATTCAAATAAAAAATCTGAAAAATTGAACAGAACTACTGAGACAAAGTTTTACAAATTAGGGAAGCGATATGAACCTGGATTAATCGAATAGCTCACAACCAAGATTCTCACGACAAAACCCAAAAGGAGTGGTTTTTTTTTCTGCAAAACCCGGAAGATCGAAAAGAAGAATAAACCCTTTCGTGAACCACACGACGCCGTGTTGAAAAATAAATAAATAAAGAAACACAACGACGTCGTATTACTTGCGAAGGTAACAGTTACTAAATTAAATTTGAATCCACTAATCTACTATCTCAACACCAGTACTTTTTTTTTCTTTTGGTAAATCAACACCAGTACTACTTCTGTCTGTGTTCTATACTTATTCTTTAAATTCTTCGAATTATTACTATTGGTCCACTAGCCAATAATTTAACACAAATGTAAGCTGTTTATTTTAGTAATGAATCCTCAAAAAAATCCATAAAAAATTACTTAAATTGTAATGAAGTCTTTAATATTTAGGAAAATTACTAAGAATGGTAAAACTCATAAAAAATATAAAACATACATTTTATATATTACTAGTTGTTGACCCGCGCTGCGCGCGGGAGTTTTATAATTGTTTTTTATATTTTAAAATTTATATTTTGATTTTTCTTTGTTTTTTGTTTATTTTTTTGTTTTTACTCTTTTTTTTGTATTAATTTAGTATATGAAATGTTTATTGTTATTTTTTTAACTTTGATTTAAGTCAAACTTTACATTTTAAAAGCCTTCAATTCTTGTATGCCAAATTATTCTGGTGAATCCACTTATTTATTTATCCAAGTATTTTCATTTTATTTTTTCCTACTTCTTATGCATAAAATCGGTTGTGTTCTCGTCTGGTATGGCTTCGGATGACATCAATTTAGTGATATATCTATCTGTATAGTATAAATATCCTTGTTTTGTATTTAGCCCCATTAATCAAAAAATTTATCATTACTTTATAAATAGATACTTGTTTTATTTATTTTGGACATAAATGTTTTTTACTATATTATTTATTTTTTTAAACCACTATTGAATATAAAAATTAAATAAAGGCTAAGTTATTAAGTAAAAAATAAATTAAAAACTAAAATGTTGTAATTCTAAATCAATGTAAAAAACTAAGATGAATGATGATGTGCAGCTGATGTGGAAGATGATGAGGCATAAGGAGAAGAGAGAAAAAGTTAACTTTATATATATAGATAAAACACACAGTATTACATATATTATTACTTGTGTATAATTTGTTTTAATTTTTGTTAAGTTTGTTTAATGTATTTTTATTTTGTGTGAACCTTTTATAATGTATTTTATTTTTTCGTAACTTTTGTTTATAATACAATAAAAATTTTAATATTTTATTCTATTTCGTGAACTTTTTTATTAATATAATAAAATATTTTTCTATTTTATTTATTTTAATATGATTTAGTTTTCATAAATTAAATTTTATACAATTATTTGTGAAAAACATAAATATAATGACCGAACGGGAAATAAGAAACAATTTTGAGGTTTGGATTAGTGACATGTTGGAATACCATTAAAATTTATGTATAGGGCTTGCAATAGCTGGATTACCGTAGATGTCTTAATGAATACGAACGTCGCAAACATAAAAAATTATGCAACATTTGAGGGATTTTGACAATCACGATGTGTAATATCTAGTAGTAGCTATCTATAAAACACCTTAGTATATCCGAGTTTGATATCTTAAGGTTTTGAACGAGATTTCCACGGTGCACCAGATTAATTCACTTACCTTTGATTGATTTGAGCCTAAATTATATGAAATGATTTGGTCATCTTGTCTAGGAATAAAGTAAGAAAAAACATATTAATTAAAGATTTATTTGGAGATACAATTATATGGAAAACATATTTTTATACCATTATTCTAAAATTTTAATTTAAAATTAACGCAATTAATTATACTATTTCTAAAAAAAATAATAGAAATTGTGATATATATATAAATGTGCTATCAAATGTTTGATTTCCTGAAATATAAAAGTAAAACAAATGTATTCACTACTCTTTTTTTTTGGTAAAATAATTATGTATGAGTACGCTTAGATACGTGCATAAAAACACCAGACGAATTTAAAATATTTTGAATAATCCCAGAAATGAATTAATAAAATAACTCTATTTACCAATAATAAAAATATGATAGTATATTTTATAAATATAAATCAGAAAAGAAATCTTGCTTTTATGATAGTTCATTTTTAAAAAATGATTTACGAATGAGAGAAACTTGTTGTATATAGAAAAAAAAATATATCAACTTCCTACCTAATTTCGACAATTTCAAATGAAATCGGTAAATCATTTTCTAGTCAGCAGGTTAACATTAAACTTTTGGTTTTTAATAATTTTCTTATATTTTGTAATTATTTTTCATCTGACGACAAAAGTAATACAGAAAATCATTTCTCAACCTTGTTATAGCCTATCAGAAACGGGCTAAAGAGTATTAAGAAGGCCTTTAGGCCCAGCCCATATAACAAAAAATAGATTCTAGATAGGTAACGAAGTTTCTGGAACCATGTCTTGTCGCCACGTGCTAAGACAAATGTCAAAGAAGCTTTTTGATACACAGTGAAAGAAGTAAATGATCCATTGTCTTGTCTCTAGAACCTTCTTCTCTCTTTCCTTATAACTCATTTCTCTCTCCTCCACGCTTCATCTCTCTCTCAGATCACACACAAAAAGTCACAACCTTTACCCAAAACCCAGCTTCTAAATTTAGCAACAAAACCCCAAAGGTCTCAACTTTGCATCTCTGTTGTATGGATTTGAAGTAAACAAGGAAGCAATGGAGCAACTAAAAGTAGAAATGGAGGAAGAAACGGTGACGTTTTGTGGTTCTGCTGCAGCTTCTTCGTCTGTGGGATCATCGTCGTCTCCGAGACCAATGGAGGGTTTAAACGAAACAGGGCCACCGCCGTTTCTGACCAAGACTTACGAAATGGTGGAGGATCCGGCGACAGACACGGTGGTGTCTTGGAGTAATGGTCGGAACAGCTTTGTGGTTTGGGATTCTCATAAGTTCTCAACTACTCTGCTTCCTCGTTACTTCAAGCATAGCAATTTCTCGAGTTTTATTCGTCAGCTTAATACTTATGTAAGTATACCTCTTTGGCTAGTGTTATCATGTTGTTGTTTGTTTTGTTGTTTTCTAATCTTGATTTTGGATTTCTTTAGATGGGTTTTACTATGAGTCTTCAGCTATAAAGGTTAGTTCTTTAAGCTTTTAAAGCGACTAAAATTCATGTGTAACACTGCAAAATCATGGAAAATACTGTAGAACCTATGAACTAGTAGCTGAATCATTCATAAATATGTTAAAGCATATGCCTTTGAAGTTTATATTGTATATAGAGATCTTTGAAGCTCTGTTTTTGTTAGTAAAAATTGAATCTTGAAATGAAAGGAGATTGCTTTAGGTTCAGTAGCTGATGGAGTTTTTATGTGTTGATTGCAGGGATTTAGAAAGATTGATCCAGATAGATGGGAATTTGCGAATGAAGGGTTTTTAGCAGGACAGAAGCATCTATTGAAGAACATCAAACGAAGGAGAAACATGGGGTTGCAGAATGTGAATCAGCAAGGGTCGGGATCTGGATCAGGGATGTCCTGTGTTGAAGTTGGGCAATACGGGTTTGATGGGGAGATAGAGAGGCTGAAGAGGGATCATGGTGTTCTTGTAGCTGAGGTAGTTAGGCTGAGACAGCAACAACACAGCTCCAAGAGTCAAGTTGCAGCAATGGAGCAACGTTTGCTTGCTACAGAGAAGAGACAGCAGCAGATGATGACGTTCCTCGCTAAGGCGTTGAACAATCCGAACTTTGTACAGCAGTTTGCTTTGATGAGTAAAGAGAAGAAGAGTATGTTTGGTTTGGATGTTGGAAGGAAACGTAGGCTTACTTCTACTCCAAGCTTGGGGACTATGGAGGAGAATTTGTTACATGATCAGGGGTTTGATGGGATGAAGGATGATATGGAGAGTTTACTCGCTGCAGCTATCGATAATGAGTCGAGTAATTTGGTTCCTAGTAAGGAGGAACAGTGTTTGGAGGCTATGAATGGGATGATGGAAGATGATAATCTAGAGTTGGATGTAAAAGTTGAAGATTTGGTTGGTTCACCTTTGGATTGGGACAGTCAAGATCTACATGATATGGTTGATCAAATGGGTTTTCTTGGTTCAGAACCTTGACTATACAACACTTAACACGTCTACTTTGTTCTAAGTTGTGGTAATTGCTGCTACCACTTTTATTTACTGGTTGAATTGTTTGTTTTCTTGTTTTGACTCAATGGAGTATGGTTTGTTGTACATTTGTGTTTTCATGTTCTGATGAATAAATAAACTCTGATTTGGTTTAACAGTTTCAGTTGTTAAGTTTGTTCTTCCTTCACCAGGTCTCGAGAGAGCAACATGAGTATCAAGTTCCGAGTGTTACTATTAGTACTCTTGCGCTCAGCACTTAGAGGGAAGATCTGAATTTAGTAACTTTTGTTAAGTTTGTTTGTGAAAAGAGACAAGATACTATAAAAGTGTTTCTCAATTAGTAATGGTACATAAGGCCATGTTTATTGGCGTACTTGCCATAGTCCCATCTAATTTTTAACACAAAATTAAATTTTAAAAAAAAAAAACTGAAGGACGTACGCACCCTACTGATATGTGGCGATCCGCGATTGGTTATTTTTTTTGTTTTTGTTTTTTGTTTTAATTGTAAAAATAAAATAAAAAAGAATATATAAAAAAATTTTGACCAATGTTTGTCCCACCAATGTGCATGGTCTAAGGAGTTTTTTGGCACTTTTGGTTTTGTGTCAACCAAGTCACTGAGTTTTGGTTTTTGTGCATTTTAATGTCCTGAATTCTGATGAATTAGAGACTATGAATTTTGTTTGAGTGTTTTCATGATTGATGTAATTAAGTTAAGAGAAAAGATGTAGAAGATAGACACTTATGTTTGTTAATTGAGGTTGATAACTACATGATATTCAAAAATTGCATAAAGCTAATCTCAGAAATTGAGCTATGAGATCCATGAATCTTTCTATACGGATACGATCTTTCCAGATCCAACTCTTTCAACTCTTCCACATACAGTAAAACATCTATAAAGTATTAATATTGGGACCGTAACAACCTATTAATTTATAGAGGTATTAATTTATCGATAAATGAATAATTATTAATTAATAGAGAAATTTTCCTAATTTGATAAAAAAATTAAAAATATACATCAAAAATAAGATTTAATTACTATAATCAATATGTTTTTTAGAATCAATTACAACAAAAACAATATTCATCATTAATGAATGAAACACTCTAAAATTTTGATACATGAAATCTAATAAAGTTTAATTCTAACAAAAGTTAATGTAAATTTGAAAATAAATAACATTAGACTCATATTTCACTAAATGTTTTACATGTATATAGTATTAATTCTCGGACCATATATATACAAAAAAAATTCAAAAAAAATTATTATCTTATTATTTTATTGAAATGTGTCTAAAATTACACTTGAGACTAGAAAATTTTATTAATATATAGAAACTAATATTTTAAAATATTAATTTATAGAGGTTTTGCTGTATATACAATATATATATGATTTATTTTTATTTTTTTGTTAATTGAGGTTGATAACTACATGATATCATTATAAGGATATGAAAAAGCATTTAACAAATTATCCAGATTAATTTTAGCCGTTTTTTAGTTATTAGTAACACTATCGATAAAATCTTGATCATTTCATTTCATAGAATATATGTTAATTACGATATATTCTCGTAGATAATGTAGTCAGTTATATCCAAACTAAACAATTAACTAAGGGAAAATACTATATTCTCAGACAAACTCATGGAAAATAGATATGTTTCAGGTTCTCATCGATCTACATGATGTCTCCTTCATAAATGATATAACATTGAGGTTCCTTAAGGGTCTTGATTCTATGTTTTGGCCATTTATAAAATCGGTTAAGTATACGGTTAAGTCAGACTATCAAGTAGCACAAATGGTAAATCATGATGATAAAAATACTCGGCCGCACGACCTTGATAACCGTCCTTTGCAAACTTTTGTTTTTTTTCTTTGATGGGGAAAATGGTCATAAAATTTAGTGAATATTGGCTAATAGTAATGACAATTAGTGAAAAAATACACTAACAACACAAAGTATGTCAAAATGAAAACATTTTAAGATAACAAGTTGCAATTCACCCTTTCCATTATAAGAACTTCTATTAGTCTTCAACCAATGCCACTTAAGTATTCCAAATCAGCTATGCCTTTCTCATATTCTTAATAATGTTTTCTTCTAAGACTAATTCCTACAAACTTCATATAATCTTCCATATATATACCACTTTAGTACCCCTTATTATTAACATTATGTCCATTAATGTAAATCTAATGTTGGGAGTTTTGGCACCACTAATGTAGCAATTCTTTACAAGCATCTGTCCACTCATCTCGTCTATAAATTTAGGACAATAATTCAACTAATTTTCAATAAGTGTGTTTGATGTGAAAAAAATATATCGTAACTGCTATTGTCAGTCTAACTAATTAAACATGACTACAAGATCTTTATCAAAGATCACAATCATATTTAACATAATGTATTATGCTTTGCAGTAATGTGGCAAACATATTTATCATTATGCATTATGTATGTATTTAAAAACAATTTATATATTTTTTAATGGTGAAGGATATATAAATTGGATCAAAGATGATATGTATTTTCACGTATGTCAAGCAAGATTGAAAATATAATAAGATCAGATCCATGTGTTAGACTTCTAATCAATGGATGATTTTTGTACAAGAATTCAATATATGTGCAAGCTCTTCTATGTATAAAATTTGATAATCTCTACTTCTTACACCCTAGAAAGAAGTCCAAGTTTTATAATCTACTAGTTGTTGAGATTTATAATTTTTATTTTATTTTTTAATTTATATTATGATTTTTTGTTGTTTTTTTTTTGTTTTTAATGTTTTTTTTTTTGTTTTTTACCGTTGTCATTTTTGTTATTCTATTTTTCACATGAATATTTTTTTTTTCAGTTTTGTATTAGTTTAGTATTTGAAGTAATTATTGTTATTTGCTATTCGCCAGAGGTCGATGGCAAGTTTCTGCGATATTCTCTCTTTTTGTTAGGCATGGGATTACAGAGATAAGGTTTCTGGTATCTGGCTTGTTTTTAGTTTCTTCCTACATTCATATTCGTTTACTCCTACAAATGGTTTCAAAATCGGTGTCATAGTTGCAAACAAGTTGCTATTGTAAACAACAGTTCTAGTAGATGTATTCCCTACTCCGTTTAACTATCCAGTTCCAAATTCGTGTATCCGACGTTTTTTCGATGTTTCTTAACCGGTTTGATTGTTGTATAACCGTTGAGCCTCAAGTCCATTCCATTTTAAGTTTATTAATAATTTTTTTAAAGACTTTGATGATGTAGCAGATGAAGTGGCGGTGATGTGGCAGAAGGAGAAGAGAGAAAATGTAACTTTATATATATACAGATAGATACTCGAATACTTATTTGGTTTTTTTGGCACAATACTTAACCCTTATTAAATTATATAAATTTCCAGTCTTATTTAAACATAAACACACAAAAAAGTCTTGGCTGATTTATATTAGCCTTAAAGAAGAAATACAAAACATATGCCTATAAAGATTATATGTCCGATGTCGAAATTTTGGCAATAGTGCACATATTACACAATTATTATGCAGAAAAATCTTGAAAAGTTGTAACCCATCATTTTATACATGATTTTATTCTAATATGATGTTTTTCGAGCTATTAACATTATGTATAAGGTTTATATGTAACATGTGGTTATAAATCTCCTTTAGCTTATTCCACTCTGAATCTGAGATACATATAAATAGGAGTTGTATGATTCTCTTACACTTTAATGATAATTTTACTTTCATATTGAGAAAGTTAATATGGTATCAGAGCAAAATAACAAACTTTCTCTATTCTCATTCTTTTTCTCGAGAACCCAAGCTTTTCCGATTCAACAATAGTGATTTCTTCTTCAATTTTTTCTTCTTGATCTCGAATCTTCACCACCGAGCTTCAATTCTTCATCACTGAGTTCAGATTTATCATTCTACAGCTCCGATTTCATCTTTTCTTCATCTTCTTTACTCGTCTTCATCTTCTTCGCGATGAGTCTTTCCAATCACCAGATCTTGTTCGATTTTGCAACGTATCTTGCTTGGATTATTCTCGGGATCTCTTATTCCGCTATCGCAATCTTCTTTTTCTTCGTTCTTCATCACTGATTTCTGATTATTACATCTTTCACATTACACAATCTTTTCTTCCACATCTGTTATGGCTACATCAAATAGTGAAACGACGAACTCAAATTCTGATCAATACACAGCTCGGATCATGCGGGACTGCAGATTGTCTTGGATCGCCTCACATATGGTGCTGAGTTTTATTCTTGGCGAAGGTCGATACCTGTTGCTCTCAATGTCCGCAATAAACTCGGCTTTATCGACGGTACGATTACTAAACCACTTGAGGAACATAGGGATTTTGGTAGCTGGTCTCGTTGCAATGATATTGTAGCAACCTGGATTATCAACTCTGTAGATAAAACCATAGGACAGAGTCTTGTTCATTTCAACTGCTGAGGGTATATGGAACAATCTTATGGCTCGTTTTAAGCAAGACGATGCACCCAGAGTGTATGAAATTGAACAGAAGCTAGGTCGTATTCAACAAAGGTCAATGAATGTGACTCAATATTATACATCTCTTATTACTCTGTGGGAAGAGTACAAGAATTATGTGGAATTGCCAGGTTGTACTTATGGGAAGTGTGAGTGCAATGCAGCTGCGTTATGGGAGAAATTACAGCAGAGAAGCTGTGTCACAAAGTTCTTGATGGATCTCAATGAGTCATATGAATCCACTCGTAGACATATTCTTATGTTGAAACCCATACTAAACATTGAGGATGCTTTTAACATGGTGACATCTGATGAGAGATAGAAGGTGATTAAACCAAAGACTGATAGCATGATTTTTCAAGCTTCAGATAATGTTCAAGACAGTAATATCATCATCCAGAATCAGGCTACATCAAGCCAATATCAACAAGTTTATACTGGTCCTTATGATAATGTTGCTTATGCTGCTGTCAGAACAACTACAGGCCAAGGTCTTCTCGTCCCATTTGCACACATTGTGGACAGACAGGTCATGTTATCCTCCTGGTTATATACCTGGTTTCAAGAGCAGCTTCTCAGGATATCAGAATGGATCAAAGACAGGATCACAACAATTCCAACCATCTCAACAATTTCAGCAAAACCAACAGTGGCAATCAAGAGGAAAAACTTATACTACTCGTCCTCAAAGTCACACTGTGGCCAATGTAATCGCTGGATCTTGATCATCTTCTCTCCCATACATGCCTCCACCTGCTACTAGTGCTGTTGATCTTGATATAAGCAATCTGAACAGTGATCAAGTTCAATCTCTTTTACAA